GGGTGTGTGAGGTGGTTTGAGGAGATGTTTGAGGAGAGGTGTGAGACAAGGTGTGTGAAGATGTTTGGGGAGAGGTGTGTGACGAGGTGTGTGAAGATGTTTGGGGAGAGGTGTGTGAGGTGGTGTGAGAAGATGTTTGAGGAGAGGTGTGAGACAAGGTGTGTGAAGATGTTTGGGGAGAGGTGTGTGACGAGGTGTGTGAAGATGTTTGGGGAGAGGTGTGTGAAGATGTTTGGGGAGAGTTGTGTGACGAGGTGTGTGAAGATGTTTGGGGAGAGGTGTGAGACGAGGTCTCCACAGAACCTGAACTCTGTGTTCATGAAGAATCAGGACTGAGCTCTGATTATTGATTATAAATTTTGTATCAGCTGAACTTTGTTAACGATCAAACTCACCTGCTGCTGATTAAAGAACGTCGGCCATCTTTAATCTGAAGCTCGATGAGGTCACGAGGCGCCTGAGGTCATGTGACCTTTGATTTGAATCATTGAAACTTTGTCACAGATTAAACCTGAAACTGAAAAATAAACATTGTAATTGATCTTAAAATATTTCAGTCATTTACATTTTTTATTCTTCTTCTTTCCCTCCTCCTCCTCCTCCTCATCATCATCCTCCTCCTCATCATCATCCTCCTCATCATCCTCATCATAGGGCTGCTCGATTATCTAAAAAAAATCATAATCATAATTATGTTGGTGGTACTGCGCGACTTCCGCAGAAGACAAAATAACATCTCCAGGCGTTTACCCTCGATTTCATTTATTTTGAAATCGTTTGACCTCAAAATCATGATCTCGATCACCAGACAATTAATTGCACAGCCTTACATCATCATCATCATCATCACTCTCTGAACACCTCTTTAATAATCTGAACTGTTTTTATTTCTATTTCAGACTCAATTGAGGGGTTTTTTTACAGTGTGAATATAAAATACACTGTAAAAAATAAAATAAAAATTAAACTCTGGTTTTAGATTACTGTCTTTGTCCTGCTCTGTGATTGGTACACACACACACACACACACACACACAAACACACAGCAAAGAACTGGAACTATATCCATCAGTGAGAAGAAAGGTCAGATTAACACTGTGTGTGTGTGTGTGTGTGTGTGTGTGAGATGGATGAAGGTGTGAATTGTGTCATGACATTAACCCGCTGTGTTTTAGCCCAGCTTTTACTCTATCTAGCACACACACACACACACACACACACACACACACACACACACACACACCTCGTCCCCACGCGACCCAGTTAAGTAAATGAGAACGTTGGTTCACCTTTTGACTTCATCGCCTATCTGACACACACACACAAACACACACACCTAAACAGTGTGTGTATGTGTGATCTGATTGGTTGACTCTCTGTCACTGTGATGAATGTGACCAACAGAGCAAGACCGCAGCAGAGCCGACCAATCAGAGAGCACTGCAGAGAGTTCACCAGAGAACAAAAGAAAATCACACACTGAAGCTTTGAGGCAACACACACACACACACACACACACACACACACACGTACAGAGCTGTGAGATGTTGCCATTGTCTCCTTGATTACATTTTATTTTACCTGAAATCCATCGGTTGGTATTTTTGAGACCTGGATCCTGTCTGCAGGTGATCCTGTCTGCAAGTGTTCTGTCTGTAGGTGATCCTGTCTGTAGGTGATCCTGTCTGCAGGTGATCCTGTCTGCAGGTGTTCCTTTCTGCAGGTGATCCTGTCTGCAGGTGTTCCTGTCTGCAGGTGATCCTGTCTGCAGGTGTTCTGTCTGCAGGTGATCCTGTCTGCAGGTGATCCTGTCTGCAGGTGATCCTGTCTGCAGGTGATCCTGTCTGCAGGTGTTCCTGTCTGCAGGTGATCCTGTCTGCAGGTGTTCCTGTCTGCAGGTGTTCCTGTCTGCAGGTGATCCTGTCTGCAGGTGTTCCTGTCTGCAGGTGTTCCTGTCTGCAGGTGATCCTGTCTGCAGGTGTTCCTGTCTGCAGGTGTTCCTGTCTGCAGGTGATCCTGTCTGCAGGTGTTCCTGTCTGCAGGTGTTCCTGTCTGCAGGTGATCCTGTCTGCAGGTGTTCCTGTCTGCAGGTGTTCCTGTCTGCAGGTGATCCTGTCTGCAGGTGTTCCTGTCTGCAGGTGTTCCTGTCTGCAGGTGATCCTGTCTGCAGGTGTTCCTGTCTGCAGGTGTTCCTGTCTGCAGGTGATCCTGTCTGCAGGTGTTCCTGTCTGCAGGTGTTCCTGTCTGCAGGTGATCCTGTCTGCAGGTGTTCCTGTCTGCAGGTGTTCCTGTCTGCAGGTGATCCTGTCTGCAGGTGTTCCTGTCTGCAGGTGTTCCTGTCTGCAGGTGATCCTGTCTGCAGGTGTTCCTGTCTGCAGGTGTTCCTGTCTGCAGGTGATCCTGTCTGCAGGTGTTCCTGTCTGCAGGTGTTCCTGTCTGCAGGTGATCCTGTCTGCAGGTGTTCCTGTCTGCAGGTGTTCCTGTCTGCAGGTGATCCTGTCTGCAGGTGTTCCTGTCTGCAGGTGTTCCTGTCTGCAGGTGATCCTGTCTGCAGGTGTTCCTGTCTGCAGGTGTTCCTGTCTGCAGGTGATCCTGTCTGCAGGTGTTCCTGTCTGCAGGTGTTCTGTCTGCAAGTGTTCCTGTCAGGTAACGTCCGCCCGTCTGTCAATTAGTTCATATGAAGAAAGTTTCAGTCCCTGAAATGTAACTATGACATCATCACCCAGAGGAACGACAGGAAGCTGCATCACATCTTAAAGGGTTAACGATGTTTATCGTTACCCTGACGATGAGTTTCACTTCGCTGCACCTTCGTCCTGAATGTTTATAAACATCATCATCATCATCAGATTAAAGACAAAAACAAAAACAGTCAAACTTTGTCTTTGATGTTGAAGAATTAACTTCCTGTTGGAGCTGCTGGGGGGCGGAGCTCTGAGGCCTCGTTAGCCGCTCGTTTACATCTCGTTAGCATCTTAACAAACATCCACAGATCTCCATATTCATCAGTCCAGCTGTCCGTCAAAACACACACACACACACACACACACACACACACACACACACACACACACACACACACGGGCTAATTAACAAACACTCATTAGCTCGTTGATGCTAATTTGGAGGATTAATTCGTCCGGTTGTTGTCAAAGAGTTAAACATGTTTGTGTCGTCAACAACAAACAGTTTGATCTGTTAATGAGGAGCTGCGTCTTAACGAGACCAACACACACTAATTAGAGCGCGCGCGCACACACACACACACACACACACACACACGCACACACCAGGTTCACTGATGATTTCGTCTTTAATTAGAACAAACACACCTCCTTAATTCATTATTTAATCAGCTGAGTCTGAAAAACAAAGTCTGAAGTTTACATTTGTTCCAGTTTGTAAAACGACATCAAGAAAATATAAAATCTGACGATCGTCACGTTTGTTTCTACAAACTGCTGCTGGGTCGAACTCTGAACCCTGACAAACCCTCGTGTCACTGAATCTCTAAAGCACCTTTGGGACTTAAGGGGTTTCTTTGCATTATAAGGGGTTTGAGGGTAAAACCAGTCATAAACCAGTGAAAACGACAAACGGCAAAATGAGATCAGACAGTTTTATTGATTAATAACATCAGATATCACAAACTGATCAATAACTTCAGGAGACGATCAGACGGGTTATTGAAATTTAAATTATTTTGCTGAAGCTAAAACTACAGACGCTGATCGATGGACAGGTTTTAACTAATCATCACTTCACAGATCAATAACAGATAATAACAGATCAATACTGATCCTGATGGACGACAGCTCAGAGTCTTCAGTATTTGGGCCTCTTCACGTCCACTCTGAAACACAAACACATTGTTTACTGTTTATTGTTTACTGTGTACACTGACAGGACTGACGAGGACTACGCGCTCTCTTCTGATTGGCTGAACACGTAACAGGAAACAGGAAACACTCACCCATCAGCCTCCATCTTCTTCCTCTTCTCTATGATCTGAAACACAAACAGATTGTTTGTTTATTGTTGGATCCCTGTTAGCTGTTACCATGGTAACAGCTACTCTCCCCACGTGAGATATAATAACCAGTGTTCACAGTTCAGTGTCAATAAAGTTACTTCAGACCCCACACTGTAAAATCAGGTAAATTTATCTCACACTGTAAAAAGAAAATAAATATATTTTAATAAAACATATTTCGTGACTACTTCCTGTTTACAGACATGTTTATTATGACTTTTATCTGTGAACTCACGGCACTGATCTTCTTCCACTGTCGGTCCAGTTCTGCCTTCTCATTGGTCTCTTTGAAGCGTCGAGTCTTCCTGCCCTCAGACATCTTGATGCCATACTGGAAGGCAGCCCTGCAGGGACAAACTTCATCGTCATCACATTCCTCAGTAGATCAGCCTGTCAGTCAGAGCTCAGGGAACAGACACCGTACGTACTTTGGCAGCGCCTCCTTGTTGTTCATGTAGTCGGAGTATTCCTCCTGCGTGTCAAAGTCCCAGCGTCCCAGAGGCCCCTTCTTGTTCCCCTGGAACACACACACACACACACACACACACACACACACACACACACACACACACACACAGGTTTAACTACCACACAGGGACTGTTAACAGACCCAGAGGACCCTTCTTATGCATGCTGGGAGTTGTAGTTACCTGGTCCATCTTACTGTAGTCCACCTCCTCGTCACTGTCCACGGCCAGGTCGTCCATTCTGCGCGCGCACACACACACACACACACACACACACACAAACAAACAACAGATATAATTACTCAATGATGCATGTACTTTAAGTGTGTGTGTGTGTGTGTGTGTGTATGTATCTTACGTAGCAGGGTAACACTCTGCATATGAGTTGGATCCTCCAAAGAAATCTCCCAGCTGTTCTTTGCCATCTCTCCTCTGAGAACCAGTAACATCTGGTTAAAGACCAACACTGCAGTGACACTACAGACACACCTGTCCTGTGTACAGATGCTACACCTGTCCTGTGTACAGAAGCTACACCTGTCCTGTGTACAGACGCTACACCTGTCCTGTGTACAGACGCTACACCTGTCCTGTGTACAGACGCTACACCTGTCCTGTGTACAGACGCTACACCTGTCCTGTGTACAGACGCTACACCTGTCCTGTGTACAGACGCTACACCTGTCCTGTGTTTAAAATATTACAGAGTTATATGGGTTATATAAGTATATAAATATATATATCTCCATCACAGAGGCTGCTCATATATAACATGTGACAGCTATGAACCAATCAGCTGCTGAGTTACAGAAGGATATGGCTCCTGGCCCGGCCACTGGCTGCCTGCTGCTCCTGCAAACTTCTCATTGATCATCTTGATCTGCTCTCTGACTGATCCAGGACCTGCAGGACACAGACAGGCAGACAGACAGGCAGACAGATATATGTGACATACGGGACATCAGGAACGACTCATTGTTTCTTTATCATCAGTCTGTTCTCAGACTGTGAACTCGATGTTTTTAAAAAAAGAAATAAATAAAGTGATT